TTGACCAATTCCCCATTCAACAAGACGTCGCCAAAGATCTAATTCTGACATTCCTAAATCGTCACGTTGTAAAAGCCAATTAACAGTTTCAACTTCTAAAGACGTAAAATCATCAGACTTGAGTAATAATTCAGGTTCTTGATAAAGAGCTTCTTGCATTATTTCAGATAATAAAGTACAAGTTGGATACTTTTGTCCAGCATTATAAATTAATACTGATTGTTTGTCCATCCATAAATGCTTGCGTTCCATTAATACTCCTTGTAAAACTTCAACTAGTACATTAAGACACAATTCGTCTGCAGCACCCAAAACATTTACAATTTCAACTTCACTAAGTGTATCCACCTTAATTGTTGAAGAATATATGTATCTGTTTATACAATTAAATATAATTATGTATATTTTTTAATATTTTTTTCGTATTGATTTTTCTTACGCATGTAGAGAAAATCATTCATGAAAATTATTCAAAAACTTATTTCACTCACTTTAAAATAATACTAAAAGTTTCTGGAGAAATGTTTGGCTTTTTAAAAATGTATTTACCATTTTCTTGTTTAGCCCATCTACTGGATAAAGCTTGACGGAAGTATGGTGATCTCATTCTTAAAATATAATAATGAGCATTAAATTTTTGAATATTTGGTTCTTCACCGGCTTCAATTATTACGTTATGCTCATCATCTTCTTCAAGTAATGCTATTAAATCTTTTGTTAACTCATCAAAAAGTTTTGTACTAAATGATTGATTAAGAATTGGTGCCGTTGTCATTTTGTGAAAAATGTATCTTTAAGAAATGTAAATGAATTTTATAAACAAAAAAAAACTTGTTATAACTTTTTTTTTTTAAGCTTTTTTTTTTTTAACGTTAGTCAAATGAAAATCTGTTCCACAAATATGTTGGTCGGAGATTTTACCAAATTTGTACCTACGTACGTACGTAGTACGTCACACTACATAAACGATAATCACGTATATAATCAAACACCGTCAGCGTAAATATTAAAGCGTTAAAAAATAACATATTATGGCACGACTCAATGGTTTAAAATTTATCTCTTATTCTATTTAATCAACTATTACCAAAAATCTTAGTTGTTTTTTTTTATTTGATATAAAAAAGCTTTATCCCTTTGCTCGTTGGACACAGAGTATAGTGCAGATTCGGTGGAATTCTGTCCTTTCGAGGATTATTCTCAATTTTTAGTATGTGGAACTTATCAATTGGCAGACTCAGAAGTTAAACACACTGAATATGTCCATGAGGACCAAGAATATAATGATAATGTATCATCTCAACCTAAGAGGAGATTAGGAAGATTATTATTGTATCAAATCATGAATAATGAATGTTCTGTTGTGATGTAAGTTAGTTTACTTATTGAACATCATTTTAGAACGATCTTAAAGTAATTTTTTTAAATGATTATTGAATAGGAATAAAATACAACAAATAGAAACTTCTGCTATATTGGACATTAAATGGTTTATCCATAATTATTTTAATTTAAAAATTGTATTTTCATAAACTAATATTTTTTTATAATCAAGGTCACATCAATGTATTGATGATCAAATGATTCTTGCATTAGCTGATGCATCGGGAAAAGTTGGGTTATATAAGTTGAATCAAGAGAAAGTGTGTTTTTAATTTGTTATCAATTTTAAATGATTTTTTTTTTGCAACATATTAATCTTTTCATTATTAATTTACAAGTCACAACTCGATCTCATTATTTTGTATGCTGTAAATGATAATGACAAGTTATGCCTTTCTCTCGATTGGTCAGATCGTCTAGGATTAAGGTAACAATTTGCATTGGTTTTTATAAAGTCTATTATAATTTCATTTATACAATATATTATTTTTATTTGCAATAAATAGTAGTGATAGGTCAATTGTATTATCACAAAGTGATGGATCTATATCAGTTTTATCTGTTGATAGACAGCTTGGAATTTTTGAGAAAAATCGATGGATGGCCCATGATTTTGAAGCTTGGATAGCTGCATTTAATTATTATAACACAAATATAGTATATTCTGGTTAGTAATTTATATTAAATTCAAAAATTATTTTCATAATATTGATTCTTGTAAAATTAGGTGGTGATGACTCTTGTTTGAAAGGATGGGATTTGCGAATGGATTTATCATCTTCACTATTTACAAATAGAAGGTTAGTAGTTATTAATAGTGTTTCTACTGACCAAACCCGAACTGGACTTTAGTCAAGCTTGAGTTTGGTTTGATTTTTAAACAAACTCAAACTTTTATATTCAAGTCAAGTTCAGGTTTGGTCGAGGTTCAGTCTGAAATTTGCAAACTAGTTTGCAAACTTCAAACCAAACCTAGACTGAACTTATAATTGAGTTTGAGTTTGAACTTGGTTTGAAAGTAAAATTTAAAGTTTGAGTCTGGTTTGATCCTAGACCAAATCGAATCAGATTCAAACCAAACCTAGAAGTATTAGTTATTAATTTAAATTTTTATTTATTTGGAAAATTAATATATTATATACTACAGGCATCATCAATCAGGTGTTTGTAGTATTCAATCTAATCCACATTTTGAGAACTACTTAGTTACAGGAAGGTAAACAAATTTATAAAGTATCAATTTATTAATTTATTGACAAGCAATTATTTTAAATATTTTATCTTAAAAAGCTATGATGAACATATACTGCTTTGGGATACAAGAAAAATGAAACAACCAATATCAGATTACCATACAAATGGAGGTGTTTGGAGATTAAAGTGGCATCCAAAAAAGAATAATTTTTTACTAAGTGCATGTATGCACAATGGATTTCAAGTAATAAAAGTTAATTACATATCTGAAGCAAATAATAATGGTAATTAAATTAAATATTTATTTGTTAACTGTAATAAATAAAATTTATTAATAAATTGTTTCTATAGATTCATATTCTATGCACAATATATCAAGTTTTATGGAACATACATCTTTAGCATATGGTGTTGATTGGTCATATTCTCAAAATTTAGCAGCCAGTTGTTCTTTTTATGATCATATAATTCATCTTTGGTATATAATATAATTTATGTTTTAAAAATTAAAACATAAGCTTATCATTGTTTTATTTTATAGGAAACCAATTGTAAATTAAAGATTTGTCTATTTGTTGTAGTCAATTTTGTTCTGAAAAAAAGAAGGTATTGGTCAAAATTTTTTGTCAAAATTCAACTTTAATTTATTTAAAACTTTATTATAATTATTTTGATTCTAAATAAGAATAAAATACTTGTAGAAGCTTTTTGCAATAATAATACTCTAATTACTATAGGTTTTACTTGTAATAAACCTGAATTTGAAAAAATTGATGTATTGGCAAATGCTTTAAGAAAAAATACTAACTATTTTGTATTTTGTTATAGTAAAAATAATATCAAAAAAATCATTAGCTAAAGTTTTTTGTAAAAATATTACTTTGTTTTTTTAGATCTTTTAAATAATTGTATTGATTCTAATAGCAGAATAATATTAGCAAAAACGTTTTGCAAAAATATTATTTTAATTATTTGAGACCTGATTATAATATAATTGATGCTAAAATTATTAATAAAATCAATCTTTTGCTTAAAAAGAATAGAACCCTTATTAAAATATTGTATAATTCAATTATTAGAAAAGTTTTATTTTACTATATTAAAACTTTTGATAACTAGAGTGAAATTATACTTTATAGAATTTTGCTGATATTTAGCTCTTGTCCCTGCAATTGTAATAAATTTTAAAAATCCTTTGTAGAAGCCTTTAATCATCAATCAGCTTATTAAAATTTATAATTGTGATTATTTTTACAAAAAAATAAAATAATCAAAATGTATTATTACTACAAATCAAGCACAGTTATATAACTTGTCAATACTTCGAATTTAACATAACTACATTGCTCTAATTATAAATTGTGCTTTGTTTTTTCTGTTTCGTATTTTTATTTGTATTTCTTATTTTATTTCTTATTTTTATTTTCTATTATATTAACAACAAATAAAGGAAATAATAAGAAATGAAAATTAATCAACTTAAGTAAAATATTCAAGTGTTTATTTTTATAATATGCAAATTTAAGAACTAGTCTTAGCACCAATTTTCCTTTATCAGTGTATAAAAAATCTTTGTGCACAATATGCCTAGTGTGCTTTTTTAAGATTTCACACATTTTTAACAAGCTTTGGATTAGATAGTACATATAAAACATATAGTTTATTGTATATATGCTCAAATCTGCCTATATAAACTTGGTTGAATTATAAAATAATACATAAATTTAAAACTATATATTACATAAATTATATATAGTAAGTTTTAAAAATTAAGTATAAAATCGTAAATAACTTTTGATATACCAGTCTGTTTTTAACGATTTTACCACCAAAATGACCATCTTGAAGAGACGATTTCAACAAGCCTAAAATCGCTAAGATCTAATCACGGGATCACAAGATCGTTAAGATTTGCATATTACTTTTGATAAAAAATAAACAAGTTTAACTAAATTAATTTTCATCAAAAATGATACAAAAATCCTAACGATCTCGCGATCCCGTGAT